ATCCCCGCGGCCCCTCCCCGCACGGCTTGCTCCGCGCCTCCCCAGGGTGACAGCAGGTGGCCCAGCATTATGGGTGACTGGGCCGAGCCCCTTCCTCACAGGGCCCCAGTTCTGTGCCCTGTCCAGAGGGGAGGGGTAGGGCCGGCCCCTGTGGCCCAGGGCTCCTTCCCCACTTCCCGTGAAGGCCAGCTCCTGGCCCGGGCCCCTCAGGACCCTCCCAAGGTGCCGGGGCCACACGCTCCTGCCTGGCAGCACGACACTGGCACCTGTCCCCTACCTGGAGCTGCGCTCTCAGCCCCATGGCCACGGCGGGCCTGACCCCCGTCCGGCGCGATCCCCGGGGCGCGGCGGGGCCTGACGCCTGTCCCATGTGACCCCCAGGGGCGCAGTGGACCCAGCTGCCTGGAACAGGACCTGGCCACAGGGGCTGGGTGGCTCAGAGGCACCAGTGACCACCGAGCCCGGCTCTGCAGACTGCACGCCGCCTGCCCTGGCGCCCCGTGCCTCGGAGACGCGTCCTCTGGGCGGGGGCCCCGGGGGCCTCGTGAGTGTCCGGGAGGGGGCGGCTGTGGGGGTGGCATGCCCTGCCTGGCGAGGAAGATGCCCTGGCTGCGGACAGGGCCCTCAGGCCCTGCTGCCAGGCCCCTGGGCGAATGCCCAGAGGGGCCGGTCAGCCTCTGCTCAGGGGAGGGAGGCGGCCCCCGGGGCCCCGTGGGGACGGAGGGGGGCGCGACTGTCACGGCGCTGTCCGGGGCTGGCGCCTCAGACCCAGCCTTGCCTGCGCTCCGCTCTGGGCCCCACCCCTGCGCCTGGGCAGAGCCGGCCGCTGCAGCCGGAGGGGCGCGCTCCGGAGACGCCGCCGGGGAGCTCGAGACCCCACTGTCTCGGGAAAGGACCGGGCGGGGGGGGCGGAGGGGGCGGAGGGGAGCCCTGTCCACGGCCGTCGTCCCCACGCCGTCGTCTGCCCCCGCAGCCGGGCCCCCAGGCCGAGGAGGTCGAGGAGGAA